CATGTGGGACGGCGGCCTGTAAACTCCAGGCATGAAAAAGGGATAGAAATTGTTTGTGTTTTATAAATATGTGCGCGTATACTCAAACCGAGGGATCAGTCGGGGTACCGGCCCTGGCTCTTGACTGGGCCTCCCCGGTATCGGGTGCGGTAGAGGCCAAAGCGGTTCCGCACCAGCTCGGGAGTGCGTCGTTTGCTTACGTGGGACTGTCGCTGTGCTCTCTCCTTAGTGCCAAGAAGAGCAGAGACCTGCAGGAGTCACGGTGGAGGCGGCAGAAGGCCGCGTTCCTCCTCTCCTCTGCTGCGGTCAGTGGCCTCCTCATCTGGAGCTACCTGGGCACCGAGGATGGGGTCACAGAGGTGCTGGCTCATCACAGTGAGAACCTGCAAGGCAAGTTCGTTGAGATCCCCTGCTCTGAGGACTACGACAGCCACAAGAGATTTGAAGGTATTTGGGTAGGATTTTCTGAAGTGGGATGAAGCAGCCTTCAGAGGACTATAATGGGCTGGCTGACTGCTGTTTAAGTTTGTTAAACCAAACTCATGCTGCAAAACTCCTTTGTTTCTAGTCACTGTGTGTGTTGTTTAAATCACCAAACGCTCATGCCTCTTGGACCAGCCCAGAAGTTGTTGCTTCTGAGAGGTTTTTCTGTTATTCCTACATAATTCTCTTCTGAAACTGCTTTGCTTAGGCTGTGTGAAATAAACCTTTTGCTAAATCTGTTTCTAGTCTTTTCATACTCTGATTCCTGTAATAGGCTTGTGGGGTGAGTTTGTTATTGGTAAATACTATACAGGGTGTAGAAATGAACTGATTTAGGATATCTGTACCACAAGCATGTGGTAATGGTGCAAATGCCAGCTTCTGTTATGTGTGTTTTGAGATGTGTGTGTGTGTGTGTGTGTGCCAGCAGCTTTTGATGCTGCTTGCAAAGTACTTCCCTGTCTTTATGTCTTTCAGCTGGCCCTATTTTCTGTCAAGTTGGTATTTGTTTCTCCTAGCACTTATTTCTTTGGAGTGTTGATGTTGGATCTTTGGGAGAAATGGAAGATTTTCATCTTCTGTGATGAACAGCAGTGAGACTCTAGCTTGCAGTTTGCATGGATGAGTTATGCTGATGTTCGCTTTCAGGTTTGCAAAGTGTATCATGATGAATGTTTTGAGCTGGTACTGCTGCCAGAAGGCAGCTCTGCTCTTGCTTTTTGTCAGCCTACCTGCATGTCTAGCTGTGTGTTGACGGATAAACTATTGCATCTAAAAAAAGATAATATTTCCCAGTTAGTTTTTAGCCAAATCAGTTGTCTTATCTGGTTCATTATGTGGCTGACAAAACACTTGCTGACACAAGCTGGAGGCAGTGTGGAGGCTGGAAGAAGCTGCTTGGAGCTGAGGAAGAACAAAGATGATCAAAGGGCTGGAGAACTTGCCCTTATGAGGAGAGACTAAAGGAGGTGGGTCTCTCTTCCCTGGAGAAGAGAAGGCTCGGGAGGGACCACATCACAATATTCCAGTACTTAAAGGGCAGCTACAAAGAGGATGGAAGCTCTCCCTTCACAAGGAGCCACATGGAGAAGACAAGGGGCAATGAGTACAAGTTACACTGGGCAAAGTTTCATCTTGATACAAGAAATAAATTTTTTTTACAGAGAGACCAGTTAATCACTGGAACAACCTCCTCAGGGATGCAGTAGAGTCCCTGTGACTGGAAATTTTCAAGGTGTGATTGAACATGGTGCTAGCTCCCTTTACCACACAAGGCTGGACCAGGTGGTATTTTGAGGTCCCTTCCAACCTGGGCTGTTCTATGATTCTATGATTTCTAACTTTGTTCCGGTGCCAGTTCTGGTAGAAAGTGTTCATCAAACTGCAGCCTGGATATGGTACCCCGAAGATGTGGAGGTAATTTCCCGTGTCCTCTTCAAGTGGCTGGTCCTGGTGCTGTTAGTCAAAAGGGTTGCAACATGAAACAAAAGTTTGTGTAGTCTGTAGTCAGATAAATGCTACAATAGCAGCACTGAGGAAAAACTTTTTTGGAGGATTCATCCCAAATGAGGCCAAAAAAACTCCTGTTGGGAAGCTACCAGCAAGAAGACTTCCTCAGTAGGGGGATTTTTTTGACTGAGCACATGAAAACATGTAACTTTTCACAGTTACTGTAAGGAGAAACTGCTTCTGGCTTTATTTGCATAGTGCCAAGGCCAGAGAAAACTGCAGCCGGTGTTGCCACAGATTTGGTAGTTATGACTGAACTACGGCTAAAACTGTCTGCATTCTGCTACTAGTGCTTTTGCTTATCAAAAGAAATGCCCGAAACCAACAGAACCTTATTTTTCCCTTCCCTGGTTTGCAAGAGGAATTTTCTGAGCTGTGGACTTGTGGTCTTGGCAACGCTGTCAGTTATTCTTTCCATCATAAGGCAGGAACTTCAAGGATATCTCTGCCCAGGAAGAGGAATGAATGTGTTCTCTCTTCTTGTGATGTCATGGGGAGCAAGCTCTGCAAATGCTAACTGCAGGGTGAAGTGTGACCTCTCTTGGCTTTCTATGAGAGTGATTGACATGGCTGGCATCAACCCAGGAGGGACAAAGGGGAGTCACCTTGTGTGAGTTTGTATTTCGGCTTTTTAATTAGAAGTTTGCTTGCTGCTGCTTTTTAACTTATGTGATTGATTTTACGTTTTAGCAGATGTTTCTACATGTGTTCCCCTGCTCTATGCTTTCAGAAAGAGATCAGGGCTATTAGAGATATGTGAACATCTGTTTTGGTAAGTGGATAATTGAAGCCATGCTGCGATAATGAACTTTGCTCTTGTTTTTTAACTCGTCTCCTGCTCGGTGCCCACAAGAGGGTGGTGGTAAGCTGCTGAGCCTTGCTGTCCCGTCAGCGCTGAGCTCCTTGCTCCACGTGTGTGTTACTGATAGCCCAGTGAGGCAGTAAATGTGGATTACGGTTTTCTGCCAAACTGGATTCAGCTCCTGAGCTTTAGTCACTTTGTTGGAAATAGCTTTCTCTCACTCACTAGCTTTTCATTCTCTGTCTTTACTCGGGCTTGACATCCACAGCTGCTGGCTCTGTGTCAGAAGGAGGCACATTCCTATCATCACTCGGTGTCTGATGCTCAGCTGTAAAGTTTCCACAGCTAAGATGAGCTTTTTATTTATGCACCTGTCCCTGCTTCAAACTGAACTAGTGCAAGTGAGCTTCTGTCTTGCTTCGAATGATATGGTAGTTGGTGTCACAGAGCAGTGGTTTTATTTCCATAGCACTGCCTACCAGTAAACATGCTTCATACAGAAATAAAAGGCGTCATTTTTCAGAGGCCAAGCACTTATTATATTTGCAGAAGATAGGGTGTTCTGAACCCTGTGGCCAGATCTTGGCTACTTCTGCTGTCTGGAGACATGGTTAACTACTTAAAGCTACTGTGGCTACTACTGTGTCTGATGAAACTCCTGCATACTCTCCTGTGAGCGTTGGCGTATTGTGTCAGTGTACAAAGCATCTGTGATCGCTGCCCAGGAGACAGCTTTAAGATGCTTTTCCAGAGACTAGATCAGTGGATGTGGAAAGCAGAGAAGTCTGTGAGCAGTGGAGGAAAAGGTCTAGTACAAAGACTGCTGGTGTCATTATGGGGATGGCATCCAATAAATCTTTGCTGCTTCTTGTCCTGCTTTGAGATGGACTGCATTAGGGGAGCACCATGATGGGGCTTTTTTCTCACGTGAATCATCCCAGTGTTGGCAGTGTATGGTTCTTGACCAAGTACCACTTTAAACAGAAGACAAAGCTACAGCTGAGACACTTGGACCCCTGTGTTATATTCAGTTTTCTGTGTACTGAGTAGCAGATGGGGCCATAGGGAGTATTTGTGTTTTTGCATGTTTCGGTATGTTCATCCTTTACCTTGACTGAAAAAAATACAACTCTCAGATCCGAAGCAGAGTGCCTTATTAGATAAGGGAATGACTTTGTGTCTACTAGGCACAAATTTGTGGAAGCTACTGAGTACTTTGTAATACTAAACTGAATTTCTCCTGAGTGCAGATTCTCTAAGTATGCTTTTAACAGTTCAGTGCTCCCACGTACCATGGTCTCTTAGACAAAGATGACACATTTTTTAATGCTAAAATTGTTTTCAAACTAACAGCCTGATCTGAATTTTTTTGTTTTGTTTTGCTTTAGCATTCATCCAGTGTTTATGCCTTACTGTTGGTACCTGAGTGACTTTACGCTGGACTATCTTTTTCTTGTTTTTCTTCTCAGTTTGGAAAAGCTTCTGCTCGTCTTCAGAACACCTCCTGCTTCCAGTACTCTTTGCCAGTTCTTTGTCAGAGACCCTAAATGTGTAACAATTGTCCTAGGTAACGCCGTAGTTTTGCCAAATGTGGACTCTCCAATACCAGCCTTTCCAAAAGGGCAAGATCTGTGCTGTTGTTTGCAGCTGGAAATAAAGAGCACAAATCTCTTCTGAAATCATAAGTCTGCTAGTATCCTTTTTGCAGAATATAGTACAAAGAAAACCCTATTTAGACAGGTTTATCCTGGAGTATTGAAATTCTCCTTTGAATTTACACTTTCCCACCTCTTCTCTCCTTGAATATCAGCTTTCCCTTATCTCCAAGACAATTGTCTTTCCCTTTCAAGCCTTAAAGAGACCTTTTCAATGGCAGAAAGAAAGTCATTCCCCTTTTCTTGTCTCTGTTAGCCAAGAGATCTTCCTTGTTTTTCTGTGTTCAGCTTTCTCCAAACTCTTAAAAAAAATCCTTTTTCTATCAGTCTGTTACCTCAGCCGTTTTAATCTTGTTTTTAACAGGACTATAAACCCCCCCCCCCCCGTGCTGCCAATATCCAAATTTGTGCTTCATAACATTGTTGACATTTTTATACCCAGCAAAACATTGGGTACAGCATGGGGTATATATTACGTGACTTGTGGTTGATGATTATTGTTCTGCAAATCTTTGAGTGGATCTTATGGTTACTAATGAAATGTTTGGTAAGGTTTTTTCAGTTCTGGGAGAACAAACTGGTCCCTCTTTGTTTTTTTGTTTTTGTGTTTTTGTTTGTGTTTGGTTTTTTTTTTTTTACATGCATCAGAGTTTAAAATTGGGTGCTGGAAGCTGTTACTGCCTCAGCCATCTGTCTCAGTCTTTGGGTGAGTATTTGCTAGCTTGGAGGCAGAGATGTCTCATCCCTGTCAGTTGGCTTCTCAGATGCTCTTCAGCCTGGTGTTCAAAAGTAAACAACTGATTTTAATCTGCCACTGCTGAATGTGTGATAGAGTCTTTAAGGCACAGCCACATAGAATGTGTACATTTTTGTTGGGGCAGACAAAGTTTGCAGCGTTTGCTGGCTACTACTTGTTGCTTTTCAAAACTGCTAGGTCATATGCTCCAAAGGAACACAGCATTTCCAATGCTTGCATTTTTATTGCAAAATCGTCTCTGTTTAATTTGCAAATTGTTGGTTCCTGGAATTGAGATTGAAAAATGCAAGAATTTCCACAAAAACTGTGCCTAGCCTTTCTGGTTGCAGAGGGAATATTTACAGTGTGCCTGAAACACAGCACAGAAGCTTTCCCTCTCCACTCCCTCTCTTCCCACGTTTGTAACTTAGAACACCTTTCTGCCTATAAAGCCCTTGTGAGTTTGAAATCTGTGCCTTTGGGCCTGGTACTGTATTGCAAAGTGTTGTTCTTTAACATGCAAAGCATCCTTTGGGTTGCTGCCAGAATTTTAAAATTTTTTGGTGTTTTTTATGTCAAGGCACTATGGTTTCTGATGGATGGTATGTTTTGATTCCGCTCTTTATCTCACAGGGTCAAGAGGAGAGAAGTGAGCGGGGCAGCAGTGGTTCTGGTTCATTCTTGTCACAGTGCTGAGGTCTGTGCTGGCATTGATAAATGGATGCTTAAGGATGTCATCTCTAGCATTATTTTAGACTGCTAGTTTCCTAGGTCATCTTCAAATAACTTAGTGTGCACTTCCTGGAATTTGAATCTTGAACTGACTTCAGTAAATTGTTGCTGGGTAGTTGGAAAATGCAATTTATCTGGGTTGTAATCCAGTTGGTTTCCTGACCTTGATCTATGTTTAAACAGTCTGCTTGGTGTGGGTACCTTTGACTTCAATTTAAACATGTGTCAAAGAAGGGACTTTTCTTTTCCCAAGGAAGGAAACAGTGTGTATAATTTGATATGCTGCTGTCACTACTCAGCCTGTTCACCTACATGTCTCTCTCTCATTGCTTCTCTCTTCTTGAAACACTGGTGTAATTGGAGGGTTTTACAGTGCATCTGAGATATAGCCATGATATATCCAGAAGGATGGATTGGAAATTTCTACAAAGCACTTGCGCTGTGGCCAAATTTATCTTTCTGTCAGACTGTGGTCATTGTTATCATTAGTTGCTTTCGATCAGAGCAGACTGATGCTTTTGACTTGTACGGGTGAATTGGTTGATTTATTTCCAGGAGTTCCCCTCTCTGTGCTCTGACGAGCAAATAATCCTTGAAGAGGAGCTCAGTTCAGGGCAGTAAGCATGTTGGCAGATGTCAGAAAATGCGCTCATCCCAACTTTTCCGTGACTTTACATGTGTATATGGGTCTTCCCCAGTCAAGTGCCAAGTGTGACGTCCCAAGGGCTCTGATGGCTCAGAATTGATCTTATTTCTTCTTCTTGCCTGAAGACTGTTGTGGACCAGACTTGTTTCATAAGAACTTTCATATATTCTTCGTTTGGAACTCTTACTGGTGGCTTTTTCATGAGCTTTTAAAATTAATGTTAGATTTCTTAGCAATGAATTTTAAGAGGCTTTATCATCTATGTCCAAGCTGTGTGCTTCAAGATGCTTTTGTGCAAAGTCTGATATAAAAGCTGCCCTTCAAGGTATATTTGTGTAGACGCCCCAAACAGAATGTTGCTTCCTTTTGAGTCATGTGTTTGGGGTGGGAGGGGGTTGAGCAAATCTGAAATATGCTGCTTTTATTTTCCTGGCAGTACAGCTGGAATGTTCAAATTGGCTGCTCTTTTATGTTACCATTGCTTTTCCAGTGACTTGCAGTGGACAAATACAGTGGTTCTTAGTGCTTGATCACAGGAATCTGTTAATAAACTGCATGATTTAGGGTTGAATACCGAAACATAAGTTAAATTCAGTTCTTTGTGTTAATACGTGGACTAGCATGTATTGATACTACATAAAGATCCTAACCTATTCAGGAACCCTTGTTGTTAGTAGTATCTTCTTCATGGCTTGAACTGTTTGTATTCTAACTGATTTCTTTTTTTTTCTCCTTTTGTTAAGCAGTGATTTCACTCCTGTCTGAGTGGCATTTTTTTGTGTTATTAGCATGGTGTTGCTCTGGTGTTACATCCACTGCAGTCTGCATCCAAGCATGTGTTGTCTTCTGCATCTCATTTTTCTCCAGAACAATTGAGTTTTCTTTATCCTGTTGAGACTATTTGCTTTTGGGACAACTATTTTCATGTTGGGTATTGTACCCAAGAGTGATGTGTACTGGACCTTTGAGTTAAAGACTTAATTGGACAGTAACAGAAAACATTTTGTGTATGGACGTGTGATATTAAGGGGGTTTAGTTGCTGGAGATCTTGGCTGATTTTGGAACTGTCAGCCTGAGTTGGAAGGATCTACATGGCACTGCTGAGCTTTCCAGTTCTTCCCCTGCCTGTCCAAAGGCTAGAATAGAGTAAGGCAAAATCATCTAAGATGATCTTTCTTTCAGAGACCAGTTATATAAAACAGGAACTTTTGTTTTCACTACTGCACTTGGGAAGAAGGGGGGAAAAAAAAAATCACTGGATCTATCTGCTGTATGTACATTGAGATACAGGTGTGTCTGATACCGCCTTACTAAACAAAGGCCATCTTTTCTAGCTTGAAGTGGTAGGTAGACAAAGGAACGTCAGTGAGTCCATTTTAATCCCAAAGTTTGTAACAAACTTGTAAAGACTTGTAAAAACCCTAAGGTTTCTAAGAATCATTTTCAGACCAACAGGAAAGGTAGTTTGTTTTTAAAGGCAGAGTATTGCTGTGCGTTTTGCTTAACCTAAGCACTGGAGGCCCTGGGTCATGCCTGACAGCCACAGCTCCAGTGGCTGTGCGACTTTGGGTGTTGAGATTCATTCCTTCTAGATCATCTTCATTCTGTTGAATTGCATTATGGACGTAGTAGGAAATAACTTGTCATCTTAGTTGGTGTGGTTGCCCTGAATTACACCAACCAGCCATAGCAGGGAAAATGATGTAGCTTAGACGAGTCCTGGGGACTTGAATCTGTGCAGAAGCAACAGTGACGTTGGCTGGCTTGTCTTCTCTCTGGTTGCAGTGCGAAACACATCAAAACGGAGATGTAATTTTCTTGTAGTTTAAGTGATCTAAAGTATTCTGAGATTGCCAGTATCCCTTCTAACTGTTGTGAATCTGAAAGCGGAGCAGGAGAATAGAGACTTGTTTTGAACCTTGTTTGAAAGATGATATTTTCTTTTTTCTCTTCCTCTGTGTTCCAGGGTGCACTCCTAGAAAGTGTGGAAGAGGTGTGACCGATGCAGTAATCACAAGGGAAGAAGCTGCAAGAATCCGTAGGTAATTTTTTTTAGCTCTTAACTTTTATGAGCACTTATTTTAATGACAGTGTGCCAGCATTTAAGGTGTAGCACAAAACTCATTAGCTGAAGGAGGATGGGTTAAGCTGGTTATAACACTAAACGTTTTTTTAAAGCCGTTTTCCATCTTTGCTGTACTGGAGGCAGTTCTCTTTCATACAAAATCTGCCTAGCTCTGTGGGGCATGACTGTGGCAGAGAAAAAAGGAAAATTAATTAAATTAATTTTAAAGGATTTTCATTTGGCCTTTAGAAACACAACAAAATAACATAAGCCTCCTTTCAGCTGAGTCTCCTCCTGGGTAATTATGAGCTAGTGCTGACCCTATAGTCCTCTATGAACACTAAATGGTGAGTCTTAATTGAATAGTAGGGGACGCTGTCAAATTATGAAGTTAAAGTTATCAGCCTCTTTGTGATTTGCACTTGATGATAATATAAGTGGGAGATATCATTGTAATGCTTGAAATGATACGTAGCTTGTGTAAGTGCTTTGTTCACTAGATGGCTCGCCACTCTGTGCTTTCAAATTCAGTTGGGTGCCTGATTTTGATAAAGCATTTCTGCCTTGTACAGGTTTATCTGTACTGCCCCTAAGAATCAAGATTGGGGAGGGGGGTATGTTTAATCTTGGCCAGAATGCATTTGAAAGACAATGGTTTTGGGATTTATGGAAGGGGGCTACAAGCATACAAGCTTTCTGCAACATAGATACTTTATTTTCATGACAGACGGCAAGATTCACATTTAAATAAATGGCAGCTTCTATTAACTCAGTCGAGTTCTATCTATGCATCAAATACCACTTACTGAAGAGCTACATCTTGTAAATAATGTCATTAAAGGACAAAGTAATCGGACTTCAGTTCTCATCTGAGGTTATTGTTTTGCCTGCAGAATAGCAGAGAGGGGACTGTCCTTGGGAGGATCTGATGGAGGGGTGAGCAGTGTCCTGTTACTTTTTACTTTTACTGCCAAGGCAAGATTATAAATGCATTTTGGGGGCTTGAGGAGAGGAGGTAGAGAAATTTTCCTTCCATTCAGACTTGGAAAAAAATTTGCTTGGAAAGTTATGTTATCTCCCATTAATTCTTCTGCTAGCAGTGTAACTTGTGACTTCTGCAATACAGTTGACATTTCCTAGTATTTAGTTTAGTTATTTCTAGTGCCTCTCTTGAACTGATTTTGTCTTCTCCAGCTGGAAACAGTTACTGTAGCAGAACTGCGCAAGTTTGACTTCTGAAACCAAATTCCAGTGGTTCACAGCACCGTGTAAGGATTGGTTTTGTGTAGTGACAAAAAATGCCATATAATGGCTTAAGTAGACCTTCGACTAATATTCTTTAAAAATGCAAATAAACCCACTTCTCTTTAACAAGCATATGTATTTTAATTTCTTTCCTCCTGTCTTTGTTCTCGGGACATTTTTGTCTATGAATAAAAACTGTTTCTTGAGTATTTGTAAACACAACCACTTCTTTAGGCTTCTGCTGAATTGGGACATACATTAGTAGAAATGGAGAAAGTCTTCATTGAAAAAAGAAGACACTATTGTCCTTGTGATTGCTGAGAAAGACCTGCAAAAAAAATACAACCTGAGAAACTTAGGCAGTGTAGCTGAAACAATATATTTAAAAGATTTAAGGTTCTCTGTTCAGTTCTGTCAGGATCCCTTGGATTCTTTTCAGTTCTGTGGTTGTATAATTTGCCACATTGCCTAGATTATTCTGTTTGTTGGGACCTCCGGATTAACTCCTGTCATTAGTGCTGTCAAGTTGGTTTCCTATCCTGTTCTTTTGGGACCTACATGTGATTTTTCATTAGACTTCCACAAAGAGGGATTAGAAGGGCAGTGTATAACAGACAGCTTCATGGATTTGGACCACAGAAAGCTAATGTCCAGCTGGGGGTCAGGGAACTGGGGAAACTGGGGCAGGGAAAGCTTGGAAGAGACATGAGGGGAGGTAAACTTGCTGCCTGATGCACAGAGCTGGGCAGGGGTCCTGAGCTGGCTGACTTGGACAACAAGCCAGAGTATCATACAAATCCATCATCTACACCATTCTGGAAGCATCATTGCGAGTTGTGGTTTTTTTTTTTTCTTAAAGGGGAAGGAAATGGCCGGAGGGGAGGGAGAAGATTCTGTTGCTGCAGTAAAATAAGTCTGTTAAGAAATCTGATGTCCATTGAGAGGTCTGGGCTGTGATCCAAGGCTACTCACATTTCTCATTATCTGTAAATGTGAGAAAGTTACGGCATGCTGTTACTCCTTAGGGAAAGGTGCATAAAGAAAGTTGATTAGTACTGCATTGAGGCCTGATCAAAAGTAGTGGATAAACACTGAAAGATGCTAAAAACAAGAGCTGACCAGTGTTTCTTGGAGATCATGTTTCAGAGAAGCCTTTAAATACAGTCTCTTTACCTAGCTTCTTTTATGCCTTTCTCCCCTGTTCTGTTGTTTTCCTCTTTCGATGTGCGTGCTTGTATTCCCCATGTCATGGAGTGAATCTCTTCCCAATAGTGCTATCTTGGCTCCCAGATACCATTAAATACTGACGGATGTGTGCTGATGATGCTTAGATAAAACTGTCTGTCTTCATTTGAGCCCTTCATCTTTTCAAATCTCTTGCCTACATAGCATACAAAATGTTTCAAGTCTTCCTTCATCTAGCTACTTTGCCTGTATGCCTCTCAAGCTTCAAGCCTGTTGGCTTAGGTCTGGTTTGTTGCTTTAAATTTCTTAGGATTTAGAGTGTTTAGATAATTCTGTCCAATTATGTCTGTTGTTCTAAGACTAATTTTTTCCTTAAAAATTCCTTAAATAACATCTTGTTTCTATTTAATTCTTTTTAATTCTTTCTTTAGCCGCTTTCACCTCTCCACTGTTCCAAATAAAACTTCAGCTTTCTACTGGGATGCAGATGGCATTTTCATTCTCTCTGATTTCCTCTTAACCCCTTGAGGGAACATGTCTGTGTTTTTGTTTGGTTTTTTTTTTGTCTGTCACATTTTGAATTCAGAATTGCATTTGTGTCTATGTGTCTGGATATATATATATAAAAATTTATTAATTTGGATACCTAAATTTGCAGTTTGTGACTCTGTCAGTTCTCTCCTTCTTTGTTTGTGGCCCTTTCTGCTGCCTTGGAGTCCTGAAGTATAACACAAACTTGTTTCCCTTTCCATCCTTTTGTGTTGAGAAAGTCCTGGCAAACATCTGAATTATTGAAATCTCCCAGGAATCATGCTCCAGTTGTCATGCTGAGCTTGCTTTCTTATCTTCCTTTGTAATTTTTTCTAGATTTATTTTTATTTATGCACCCACACAGAGTGAGGCTAGAAGAGGCCATTGTAATCTTCTAGTCTAACTTTCAACAGAATCCAAACAGGAGCATCTTCACCAGTATGCTGCTTTCCCTTGTACATCTCTGTAAAATACTTTTATGCTCTGTTCCTTATTCACAGAATGTGAATTGCATTAGTTCTCTTCATGTTTTCCTCGGCTTAGTGTTTTTCTTTTTTATAAAGATAATGACATTTACCTTTCTTCCCTACCTAATAGTTTCTTGCATGCTACACCTGCTTGTGTTACTTCTTTGGTCATGACTCGTTCACTCACATCTTTGTAGGTGCTGCTGTCAAAACATTGCTGTAGTGTAAATTAAACGACTCATTTACTATTAGATATATTAGCATTTATTTGGAAGCCCCAGAAAAGAAATCCCTTGGTGCAGCCAGTCAGCTGCAGTCTGTTTCCTGTGTTGCAGCAAAACGAGCAGGACTGGGCCACCTAGAGCTTCCTTTGGCAGGGGAAAATTAGGTTTCTTAATCACTGGAAGAAGCAAACAACCTGTGTAGCTGTGATGCCAAACAAGGGTTTCTGATGTGGCCCCACCAACCCATGCATGGAATAGTGGTTCTGCAGACCATATCCTTCCTTACCCTGGTTTCAGCTCTCCCCACCAACCTCTGAAGTCTTCAAAATGCTGTTAGCTCTGTATTTTCCAGGGAGAAGATAAAGCCTCTGCATAATACTTGTCCTATCTCATACCTCTACTACAGACTGCATGGTTTTCTTCCTTCCTAATTAGTCTCCTGATAGCACTTGGGAAACACTTGTAAGGAGTAAAAGACATACTTGGCAGTGTGTCTCTCACTTTCCTTAAAGCTGTGTGTTGGTGTGATTATCTAGACAACTCTAGGAAGCTGGAGGGGAACCGGTTGTGTCTAATCGATGTCTAGTGTAAACTTGTGCTGGGCTCCATAGCCAAATACTGCACTTAACTTCCACTGTGATAACCTGTACCTCCAGCAGTCTGGATGATGTATAAATTAGATTGGTTACACTTGTGTCTTATAATTAATCAGTGTAACTCTTAAGAGGCATTACCCTAAGAATGTAATCCTTGTCTGTCTACTCTGAAGATTCAAGTAGTGAAAGATATTTAAAGGTAGTATCATTTTGAGAGTCTGTACAAGATTGTTTGCAGTGACAGCAAGTTTGATGCTGCCCAGGAACTGCTGGTCATGTAAAACCTCCATTGCTCTTCCCTCGTCTCAGCTCAAGTGTGTATGTCCCCCAGGAGGAGTGGAGAAGGTTTTGAGTGCTACCAGCTCCTCTATAGACAAGTAGAAGTAAGTTTTTGCATTTTTCTCTTTTGGGCAGCGTGTCTGCTGCTTTCTTTAAAAGTATCACTTAAAACTTTTTAAGGGGTGGAGGAATTGCTGTAGAAGTGAGTATATATTTAATGGTTGGCAATCCCTTTTGGTGGGGATCAAAGGCAAGGCCTATCGTGCTTTGCAAGATGGGCAAATTGATCTTTTTTTGCCATACGCTGAGAAGTGGGGTTACCTGCATGTTCTTTTTGAATCCTTTTAGCAGTGAGGGTGGAGAATGTGAGACTACCAATACTGAAGGTCCAAAAGAACATATATTTGTGCCTTTTTTTTTAAAAGGAAGTTCAATTTCCTTTTTACAGAAGTTCTGTAAACTAGGATGTTGGGGTAGTTCTGTTAAACAGTCTCTGGGAAATAGGTGTGTGGGTTTGTGTGTTTGTAGTGTTCCTGCCATCTTTCGATAAACTTTGTAGAGCTTTCAGCCTGGGAAAGCTGACTGGAAGTGCAGGCAGACCCTTGATCAGCTAGCTGAACTTGAAGTAATGGTGTTGATACAGGCTTCCACCAAGATACTCTTCTCAGTGTAGGAAATTATGCTGAAAATGTTTAATGTTCTGAAATGGCATAAGCCAAAATAAATGTGTTTCAATTTCTTTCCAAGGTAGTTGTTAAAGAAATAGCTCTGTGCTCATCTGTAGTCAAGTCCCTGTCTATGTTTGGCATTCAGTTGTTTTCTCCTGTCTGAAACAACCCTGAAGAATATTCTTTCTTTTTCAGATTCCGTTTTCAGTCATCTTCATCTGGCTTTTCTAGGCTTTATATCCTAGCTATTATCTTTTCAGCTAGGAATACCTTCAGTTCTTGGGGGTGTCTTTTATTGATTCATTTGGTAATTTTGGATCTTCCCAACTGTAATGAACTGGAGCTTGAGGAGTGAGAAGAAAGGTGTATATTTGGAAAGCATGGCAAAAGTATTTTAAAGACAATTTATTTTTAAATTAAATTAATCTTTTCATATGTGTCCTGCTACTTCTCCTTATAATCTACTTTAGCATGGTTGCAAACATATTTTTGAAGCTATGCAGGAGCAGTTTTACTGCTTCTAGCTGTAGCTTAGATTATTGTACAGAACCAGAAACCAATAAATGAAAATATTTTGCTTCTGAAGCTTGAGTAAAGCTTATTACAAGAACTGCTCTTGCATGAGAGTGAGATTGTTTCCCTAACAGGCCTCTGAAGGTTTTGGAGAACTGTGGAAAGGGGAGGTCCGAAAAGCTCATGCTAAGTCCACTTGAATAGCTTGTTACTTTATATATTTTTAAAGGGGTAAATAAAATTATTGGGGTAGGTTTATTAAAAGAAGGGTGTTACTATCCCTTTTAAAAGGAGAGTTTAGTGCAGTTCCCCTGATTCAGCTCTGAAGCCCAGAGCAATTGAGCTTGCAGCAATTTTCTTTTGCTGAGAGACTGTCATGGGTGTCTTCTTCCAACATGATCCAGAGGAGGAGGGAGAAAAGTGCTTTGAGACTGGGGGTGAAGGTGAAGCTGTATTGCTGACCTGGCATTGCAGCTCTGACATGCCCACGGACTGATAACTTGCTGCTGCTCATTCACCAGCCTGTGTTTGGGTAAAGACACAGAGTGGCTTCAAACTGTACTGTTCCAACCATGCTCAGAAATTCTTCTTGCTGGTAAGATGGAAGCTATCATTCTTTCCAGGCAGCTCACCTAGTGCTATTGTTATTGTTTGGATTTTGTTAGAATAATGTGAATGGTATGTGGTGCATGAAGAAACGCCAAATTCCAAGATGAGTGCCTTTGTCTGGATATTGTATATCAAAGATGTCATTCATTACATTAGTGCTGGTCAGGTTAATTAACTGTTGCTGCTTGGTATTTCCAGTATAAAAAAATAAGACTGCTATTAAGCAGTCATATTTTTAAATATTGTTTAACTGATGCAAAACAAACATGTATTTTGTGGGCAGCAAGGGACATATGAAAGTGTACTTTATTCAATTTAGAGAAATAACTTAGAGTCCTGAGAGGTAGCTCTCTGTCCTGGCAAATCTGAATACTAATCTTTTTAGTTTGGTCTGGAGCTCAGCAGAAGTGTTTGGCTTGAATCAGATGAAGAAATGGATTGAATTTTCATATGTAAAAACTTTTTACTCTTTGGTTTTCTTTTACAGTGGTTTAGAAATTGAGGAAAAGAAAGTTTGGCTTTAGTGAGCCTTAGAATTATAATTGTTCTTTTAAACAGACTTTTATGTCCACATTAAATATGAGAAGTATACAGGAAGTCATGGTGAAGGAGAAGTTTTAATAACAAATGTTGGGCAAGATAAATATTAGTGCTGCTATTTGAGTGCTTCACAAATATTGGAAAATTAGTCATCTTGGTGTGGAAGGGAAATGTCTTCAAGAAGGGATTCAGGAACACAGAGTCTTACCTCTAGCTCATGGAGGAAGACTCTAGCAATTCTCTGTCAGATTTGAAACTCAGGAATAGCAGTCCTATGCTTTTTTTCATGGTACTTTAATATTTTGTGCATCTATACAGCAAACTGAGGGGGGGTTGTAGTTGTAAAGTAATCATTAGTATTGTGAACCCAAATGCTAGAAACTGATATTTTTACTTGGGAGGCCATGGAAAGTGAGAGCCAACTTGGGACAGTTATTAAAGGTCATAGTTAAATAATGATAAAACCTTTTCATGCTTATTTTTCCTACTCTTTTGTTTCCTTTCCCAGGCATCCATTTTGGACTTGCACTCTGGAGCTCTTTCACTGGGGAAGCATTTTGTTAATCTGTACAGGTAAAATGGAGCTGTGGCTTGCTGCCTCTCTTGTTATCCTACACCTTCAGTGCTTATTACCTTTTCAAATTTCTCAAGCCTTGTGGGCTGGGATTAGTAATGACAAACTGTAGAAGTTGTTTAGATTCACCAGAGTTTCCATGACCACTTAAACAGCTTTTGTGGCATGAAAACTAATCTTTTGTTGAACTGGGCTCTTTGAAAGCTACCATTACCTTTATTTTCAGAGTTGTTCTTGCACCAGTAAATAATAGTGTTTTTTCCACAGTTACAGTCTAGTTTGTCAGCAGGGGAAGAAATTAAGTAGTCTGAACTCATACTTGAAACCACGTGCTTATTTCATGGTTTGGGAGGGGACTTTTTTCGTGGCTGGGGAATTCTGTTATCAGTTGCTGCATCTTGATCCTTTAATCTTTCAACACTTAATCTTTTAGCAGTGCTTTTGGAATATGACACTTAAAGGCATTTGAAGGATTGTTTTTTGTGTGTGTTGTGTTTTCACTTTTTGATCGTGGGTAAAGCACAGGTTGGGGTGAGAATGCATCTTGGTATTACTGAGGCAGACTGATTCAGCAACTCTTTTAGACTGTTGTTTAATTTTTCAGGTACTTTGGGGACAAAATTCAAGACATCTTCACAGAAGAGGATTTTGCATTATATCGGTAAAGATTTTCAATAACTGCTAAATGAACCACAAAGCAAAACTTTATTTTTTTGTAGAGTGCAGGTTGGGGGAGAGGATTGTCCTTTGGATTCAGACATGCAATTAATTTTGCAGCCTAAAATAGTAATCTCTGTGAGAATTAAGATGCCTTGAGGAAAATAAGTAAAAGGACCTTTTGGTGACTGCCTGATAAAGAATATCTGCTGCTTTGAACTTAGCTGCATTACCAATGTCAGGACAGTATTGATGGTGTAAATGTAATCATAACGATGGTAGCACCACACATTTCCCTTTCTGCGTAAGGGGTTGATGCCAGCCCTGCAAGCAAGGAGAGCTGCTCCATCTGAGTTCTGTGGGTATTTGTTGGAACATGATAGCTAGGACGTAAAATCCTTCAGCATTAACTCCTATTCCACACATGTTATCCAAGAGGTGGTGTGGTAAATGGTAAAGACAATCCTATGCTATTATTACATTAGGAACTTGGGGGTTTTTGGGTGGAGCAAAACATTAAAAATGGTAAAGCAGGAAGTGGAAGGACTTGAAGTTACTAATGTTCTGGCTGGAGACGCAGAGCATACTTTCCCCATAAGCAGCCAGAATACGAAATAGCGCTATAATGTAATAGCTTTGGCATCTGATGCTTTTAGCTTTCCTGTAGACCTGCTCATATACTTAACGAAGACAACAAATGTAACGAGTTCCATGTGTCTGAAGGTGTGTGGCCAAAGTTTAGGAACAAGCATTCTGTGTTGCCTAGACACAATAAAACTTTAGTTATGCATTTCAGTTGCTGTCTTGTAATTTAAAATGTACCTGGCTTGAATGTTTTAACTCTCTCTTTTTTTCCTTGTCTTTGTGAAGGAATATCGCCTCCCTCTAGTGGTGGAAGTAGTATTAAGTAGCCAGATAGGTTTGTTAGTATAGTAATTTTGTCTTAAAATACTAACCATTTAAAGCTTATTTCTATTCGACAACTATTTTTAGATACTGTTGTCTTTATAGATGAACTTCTTTAAAATCTGTTTACCTCTGCCCCCAAAATTGCAAAAATAAGATGCTTCCTTGATTATTATTGAACTCTGACTGTATAAAGAAAATATGTAGTTTCTGCCTCACCAAGATAGTGGAGAATATTTTGAAAATAGTCTTTGTTTTGCCTTCCATTCTGTAGAAGATCAAAGAATCTGTAGAAATAACATGAGCGTATGGAGGGAGTGTCTTACTAAAGAATATCTCTGTTTCATATGAACAGAAACATTCAGTTTTTCAATAATTTTTATGAATTTCTGATCCTTACACTGTAAGATGAGACAGCTTCTAGGGAATATCAATATTGCATTGGTATTTCATGCTAATATAGTGGTTGTGTCAGTCTGCTGGATATGAATCTAATACAAAATACATTATTAAATGCTTCTGTTCATATTAATGGCAGTGCTTTAACATGAACTGTAGTACCGTATGTCCTTAATGAATGATTTTATGCTATTCTTGGGAGCATTCATCTTCATTACTTTCACTTACCTACCAAGGTCAGTTTAAAAAATACACTCTTGAGAGAAATAACTGAATGTAATTCATGTCTAAGTATTACTGGTTGCAACAATAACAAATCTGACTAGGCATTCTGAGGCAGGAGGCCGTTTTCTAAACTGTCTCTGTCAAAATTATGTTGCTTCAGAATCAATTATGGTTTCTAGGCTGATCCTTTAACCACCATCTGCCAAGCATATTACAGCTATTCCTCTTGTTTCACATAATAGATGCATCTTTATCCAGAAGAGAGACCTTTAAATCAGAATGCGTGGTTTAAGGGCTGTGACTTCAGCAGAAAATGGCACTATTGAAGATTTATTCCAAAATTCTTACAACTTATTAAGGTAGAGACATAGAAAGAGCAGAGGAAGAACTGATAGTTTGCTTTCTCCCTTTATTTGTTCTGCATGTGTGACTTCTGTTAAAACTTTCTGGCTGTAGAAGAGCATTGCTTTGTCTGCTTCTACTGCCTTTGGTGCTTTTCAGTGGGAACACTGCGGAGATGCTGATGAGTGGACTAGAGAAGTTGTGTAGTTTTGCAAAGCTTTGAGTGTTCCTGTTGCCATACTTGAATCGCACTTTGCAGTGACTCGGCACATTTTTTTGCAGATCTGGCAGAACTTGCGTCTTTCAGAAACTTTTCTGTGGCACTTTTAGTTCTTTTCCTCAGTCCTTTATGCTGCTGCTGCTATATTAAGCTGGCAACTTTGCAATCTAGTAAACATCCTTTCTCTTAAGTTCTATGTTCCTTAGACTTCTAGCTACTTCATTGGCTTTTTTTCTTCCTCATCACCCTGACTCCAAAATAGATTTCAGTAACTGCTTTTATAGAAGGTGGTCATGTGCTCTTTTCAGAGCATTCTCTTCTGCCTTTCTCTGAGTCTGGCCTGTGCATTTAGATATTATCCAGTGACTCAGTGCAAACGTGCAAGGACTGCTGCTGACAAATTCTGGGAGGGATTTGTTACTTATATTGTTGACTGGGTGCTGTACTCGTATTTATTGCCACAGCAGAGCTCTGTTTAGTGCATCTGATCAGAGCCAGGGTACACCCTTAGCAGTTTGAATGACAGAATAGTTGCTGTGTTTATGAAAATGAATGCTTAGATTCTCCAGCATAAAGAAGTATTTTCTTTGCAGCTATAGTACACCAGAGCTCTCCCAACAGTTTCTGATATATGGGGGACATGGAGGCAAAAGTATGAAGAATGAGTGGGTGAGGATCAAGAAGGGAGGGGAGGCTCCTGCTTCTTCTGGGTGCGTATGAGAAGTGGCTGAGAGAACAAGGAGGCTCTTACCAGATCCAAGGTAGCTAGAATTTCTGGGTTCACTCATTCGCTCCTTGATAGCACCTTCTAAGCTGAAATTTGGTTTATCTTGTCATGTGATTTACACATGAAGTACAACATGTTTCTCAGGTATTTTACCAGTAGACTATAAAGGCTTCGTCTGGAATGGCAGGGAAGGGAATGGAAAGAAAAACTTGCAGTCATGATATTGATAAATGTTGAAATGGCCAGGTCAGTGGAAAGCAAGCTGTACAGAAGAGTTTTTATAGGCTAAAAAGTGACGTTATACTATTTTTTGAAAACAGCTATGTGCTGTATTTGGCATACACTGAGCACGGAATGAGCTGAAGTACACAGGTGCGTGTGTTCAGATACAGGCTGCACAGGATTCTAGGGAACACATTGATCTGTAAAAAGTCATGCTTTTGCTCTTACTCCAAGGTGAACATTTGATTCCCATGTATAGTGTTTAATTTGCTCTTGCAAAGAAGGATATGAGATAACTTACGGAGTTTGAAGCAGAGTTCGTGTTTGCACTGACAAGTTTGTCAGCCTCTTGATGACTACTGCAGTGGGGTAAATGTGACAATGTGAAACGAAGGGCAACCAAGATTATTGCAAAGCACCCTGCAAAACGTACCTCCTGCAGGACACAGTTATCTTTGCCTTTGGCACCACACTTGTAAATGGGTGTTTTTTTACACGTTCTTACATCAGCTACAAGCTAAGATCTCCTTGTTGGTTACAATACTGCAATGCAATGTTTTCTAGTAAGCTCAGTGTTCTGCAACTTAATTCTCCTCCACACCCTACCTTAAACATTAAGTTCTTTTATACTTTATGTGGCTTGCTTAAACTTATTTTGAACTGCAGCCACTGACATATGACAAAGTGAGAAGTCCTGGTTATTCACATGCATTGAGAAACAGTCCGCCCTCGCCTGTTTTCCTCTTTCTTCTCTAGGTTATAGTGCCTATGTATTTGATTTGACTGATGCCACATTATTAGAAAGTAGAAATAATATCTATGTGCTGGCTCAACTAGGAATTTCATGGAGTTTCTGTAACCTTTGAGCAGTATGATACATACTCAAGAAAAAAGCGTTTAGGCACTCAAAGGCATTGCTCTTTGGAGCTTGCTTCCAGCAAATCTTTGCTATATAGGTTATTCATCATGTGGAAATCTGCAGTTTAATCATGACTGATAAGCCTTTTTTTAGTTTTTCTTGTTGATTCTCTATAGTTGGGTTATTTTTTGCATTCCATTACAGCACAATAAATGTGCATATTGTAGGCACAGTTTTTCCAGTTTAATAATTTATATTAAATATAAACTGCTTGGGCGTTTGTGGGAGGTGTATCAGATGACACTTTGTGTATCAGGATAGCATTTCATGCTTAAAAATTTAAGAGCATCCACGGGATGTGAAGAAGTAGGGAGACTGAGGTAGCCTGTCACTCTTTGCTCCATCATGTTACATAGGTTTCTGTTGTATCTCTTAAATTCAAGCCTGAACTTTGGGAATACCCAATTTACAGCAATGGAGATTACATGTGTTTTCTCTTTTGTCATGTGTGTGCACTGGGAAAGAAAAAAAAAAACCCAGTCTTGAACATTTCCTTTCTGTCCCTACCATTTCTCTTTAGAAAGGTCATCCTGCGAAGAGCTTTTCTTATAAGCAGAGCTTGCTGGAAAGGGGTCTTGTTTCCAGTGACCAGTACATGAGTTTGGGTTCCTTTGCTTTTTTTTTCCACGTTAGATTTAGAGGTCATTGAAATTACTAAATGACTTCCTACTGACTTCAGCATGTGCTGGATTAGGCCCTAAAAAAATAATTTGGTTGTTCACCAGTTCTCACAAATATATTTAAGACAGCACTGAAGGCAAACTAGAAGATTAAGTGTCCTCTCCCCCACGACTTAACTTTTTTATGACTTTGCAGACTGCACGTCAAGCAAAGTTACTTTTGCTTTGTTGTTTTCAACTTCTTATTATAGGCAAGTT